CAACACGTCAAGTCATGAGGCAAACTGCTCGCCTTTAAAAGGGTCAAAAGCTACACACAGCAATTGGCTGCAAACTTTGTTTCTTATAGTCTAATTAATGTTTGAGAAAATTCTGAAGGCCTAGTCCATTCATAATGTGATTAATTTGACTAATGGAAGACAAATTGATCACCTCATGATAACAAAATGACCTTTTATAGGACGTTAGTCCAATTGCGAGTTATTTTTTTATCATGCAGACGTTGATGTGTCCTTCCTAGTAATTGGACCTCACATGGAAACATATTCCTTGAAAACTTAGGCCGCTTAAAAGCAAATCATCTTGTCAATTTTCCCATGAAATGATAAGTAGGTGACAAGCAATAGATTATGGACAGCAAGCCACCAAGCTGGCTGGCTTACTCTTTTTTCCCTCCCATTCCTTAATTCATTTTTTTTATTTCTCGAAAATTCCCCGTTGGTTGGTGAAAATTGATAAAGCCATTCATTAATTAATAATGTGATGGATTGGAATAGTAGTAGTTTTAAGGGTGCTTATCTTATGAAAAATTTCCCAATGGCCCAAAATATGGGACCAACAGAGGGGACAAGTGTCCCTCCTATTGCATAATGAGCTGGTCATCATTAATGATGGCCAACTCATTATTCAATAGGAGAGGGACACCTCATATGTCTTCCCCGTTGGTCCCATATTTTGGGTCTGTAGCAAAACTCTTATCTTATTAGGGACCTCTTAATTAATCCGGGGACAAATTTAGCATGCTAGTTTTCTTAACCAAACAAAACATAGCTAGAGTTAATGAGGACGGTTTTAAGTACACCAACCGGTACCAAATTAACAATGGTTTTAGTGTTTTACAACTAATTAATGTTACTTTTCATGCATGTCACACTTACCAACTTAGCAATGCCATTTCCTCTTCATGCTTGCCACGTTGCTCATTGGTGTTATTTTGGTAATTATGGCATCAACTAATATTGAACTTATTAATTATATATATATATAGTAAATCACTTATTTGGGTTTACGAAAAAGCTCTAAAAGAGCTTCTATTATGGTGCAATTAATTGCCAATCGCACTATTTTTATCCGAAATACGTAAAATTTAATTTAAATATGCAGGTTGTATCGTGTATGCATCCTTGTTTACATTTTTTTTAAAGAAAGAATAAAAATACATTACTTCAAAGACCCAAAGCATATATGAGGATTAGAGAGACTTGTACGATGAAAATAATTTGGGATGGAGTTCGCTTCCTAATTAATCTTCAGTTCCGTAATTACCTAGGTTAATCACACTAGCTATATTGGGATCTTGCTTAGCTAAAAGGAAATTAAGTAGTTTAATTAAAATATGCATGAGACGTATAGGTACGTATATAGTTCTTTTTCCTTAAAATTTGATTAATTATGATTACACCCATTAATCAAAACTTGTTCAAATCCTAGCTAGATCTATATTACATAATTTAGACTTGATCATAATAACTCGACTTGTACGCTGAACGGGTCATGTACTTAATTAAATTAATCAAATATATAAATTCCTACATACTTAATTAATTTAGACTTGTACGCTTACGATTCAAATCTTCAGAGTTGTTCCTCACAAAATAAACTCGCAATGAATTATATAGTTCTTAATTAATTCATTATCCTACATACTTTTGCATTTCGACACGAATTAACTATTAATTAAATTGTCGTATAAATTTATTATAGCTTTGTTTTACTTCCATTCATTAATTATCTCCATCCAAATCTCTTTTACATGCATATTTGTAAGTATTAATTAATCTTAGCTATTAATTAATAAATCTCAGCTTAGATACTCATTTAGATATAATTCCAAATCTTGAAGGGTGTTTTCCACGAAATAATCCTAAGATATACTTCTTAATTAGTTTTTCCAAACACTATTATTGCCCCTCAACCTCTCTCTATCCTCATGCTTGTTCCTCCTCATATATATAAATTGGCCACCTTCTCCCTATACAAACGCACACTAAACCCTCTCTAGAGAGAGAAAGAGTGAGCTTTAGAGAGAGAGAGAGAGTATGTTAACAATCAGAGAGTTCGACATGGAGAAGGACCTCAAGCTCGTGGAGGAGCTCGAACGAAACTGCGATATCGGGCCCTCCTCCTCCTCTTCCTCCCCCTCCTCCTCCTCAAAGAAGAAGAAGAAGAAGAAGAAGTTGTCTCTCTGCATTGACCAGCTGGGGGACCCACTTTGCCGGATCCGGCACGCGCCGGAACGCATAATGCTGGTACGGGATAAGTTAATATTGTTGGGCTTTTTTTTTCAGCTATAAACCCAAAATTTTGGCCCCAGTTGTTTTGAGACCCACCCGCTTCTAAAATCACTCTAAAACTCAAAATGTCCTGGTGAATATATTATTCTTAAACCCACTTGGCGTATTTCCATTTGTCATACACACAGCTTACCGTTTTGGCAAAATAATTCAACGAGGCTGTCGTGGGTTTAAGAGTAATTTTGGAACTAAAAAGGGTTTAAAAAAAATATGTGGGCGAAACTTAATTTGGGTTTAGAGATAAGAAAAAGTCTGTACTGTATATGTCCCCCTTACCTTATTTGTTCTTGTAGGTTGCGGAGTACGGAGAGAAGAGGGAGATAGTTGGGGTGATTAGGGCTTGCATAAAGACTGTGACACGTGGAGTGGGGCCCGATGTAAGGGTCCCACGCTATGTCAGAGTTGCTTATTTGCTTGGACTCCGGGTGTCGGTGGCGCATAGGTGGGTGAATTTGTGCGTGTTTTTTTGGGTGAGGTGTTTTTAGTATTGATTGATTGTGTTTTTTTAAATCAATTTTAGAGTACAAATTGAGTGGTACTAGGGGCACACCCCAACCACAACTCTAATCACACACACTCTCTCATTTGCTACAGTGCACCAGGCCTCACATGGGATTTTAAAATTTTAAAATCCTATGTGAGGCCTGGTGCACTGTAGCAAATGAGAGAGAGTGTGTGGTTGGAGTTGTGGTTGGGGCTGTGCCCCTTATCATTTTCGGTACAAATTATATCAGAACTCATTTTGAAAACTTCAGTTTTTTATAGTTGATATATAACACCCTATGTCCCTAACGTATATAGGACGGTCTAGACATCAACGCGTTTATTTTTTGTTATTTGTTTATTTCTTTTTTTACATTGAAGAGCAAGAGGGGTGTAGGGTTGGTTTCACCTCTTTTTGTTACTCATTTTCAACGCAAATTATAGCCCTCATTTCGGACAAAGGTTAGGGATTCGGATCCTCTCCACTACAAAAAAATAGTGGAGGGACCACTACATAATCACAGCCATTGATTATCTAGTTGATGGTTGTGATTTTTTCTTTTAGTACAAATTATGAATGAGTGCAATACACGGGGGTATGGTAAGTATTAGATTTAGATTGTATCATAACCGTCTACTAAATAATCAATGATTAATATTAAAAACAGTGGTCTCTCCACTAGTTTTTTATAGTGGAGAGGATCCAAATCCAAAAGTTAGAGAGGAAAAAGGAAGCGAAAAAAAGACCGGCGCAAACAGGCCCATGGTGCATGTTAGCTTGACAAAGGAGGAGTTGCTAATGTCCACCGGCCCACAAACACCTGAGCCCATCCTTTACCCCCCTTAATATTCGGCCAGTGCAGCGCAACACTCAACACCGCTCCTCGCCTCAGAAAATCACTTTTTAAGTCTCGTCTCCGTCGGCCTGCGCATGCTAGCGTGATCCTGTATTAAATGCTAACATACCACGATACAATTTTACTCACCGATGTCCTTCAACCAAGGAAACTGCATGCTAAAGACATGATGTAACTATAAGACGTGCGTGTATATTATTTAGGGGTTCATATTATTCCCTTGATTTTAAAGAGCATGGTGTTCTTTCTTTTATCTTTAATTAAGCTGACATATTTTTTCGGGCTCATTTAAAAGAAAATTCTCTTGCTTTGTTCTTAATGTCTCTTACGTACCTCAAGTCCTCAAGTATAATTAAGGTTGCTTAATGTCATAAATCTCCATGATATTGCTTTTTTTATCTTGTCATGAACGTATGTACATTTTATCATGAATATTGTCTTCTCAGTATCTACGTAACATGTATATACATACGTACATATACTATAGGTATTAATTAATTTCAGATAGTTTTCTAGGTTTTAATTGTTAGTTTCGTACTTTTGTATCTTTACAATTAATTATGTAAGCAATTGTTATGCCTGATCGATCACTTGCAAAGAAATTAAAAACTCTTTTTTTTTTGTGCGTATTAATTAATTCACAGGCGACTGGGCATCGGAGTGAAGCTGGTGCAGTCAGCGGAGGCGTGGTGCGTCAAAACAGCGAGCGATGTACGCTACATGGCCACGGACCAAGTCTGAACACCCCCTCTTGGAACCTCTTCACCACCCGCTTATTCCTACGCCCCCTTCCGGCCGCCTCCCATCCTCGTTCCACCCGTCCACTCCCACCCCCTCGGCCGCGCCGCCCCCCGCCTCCTCGCTCCCCCCTCCCTCGCCTCCCCCTCTACCGCTCCCTCGTTCCTCCCTCTCCGACTTCCTCCCTCGCACCTCGACTCCCTCCTCTCCCACCCTTTCTCCCTCGGCACCTTCTGCCCGACGACGCCTCCCGCCTCCTCCTTCGCCGCGGCCTCGGTCTTGGCACGCGCGAAATGAATCACGCTTCCGGCCTTTCAGGCTCACAGTGAGCCGTCCAAGCTTACCCAGGCCGCCGTCAGGCCGCTAACGCTGCGCCGTCGCACCAGGATGTTCCCCTGGCTGGGGGCTGCCGTCGCGTGAGTGCGGTGCTCCGTGCTTTCGAGCCGTTCGGGGGTGTACGTCAGTTACGGGGTGTGTTTGTCAGGCGCGCAGAGGGGAGGGAGATGCGCGACAATGTGGGCGTTGCTTCCGCCGACGGTGCAAACATGGCGGCGGAGGGACGGGGAGGTGGCGGCGTGCGTGTGGCGGTCAGGTCGGGGGGGATGCTGAGGAGCGAGGGCGTAAGCGTGCCTCACTGGAGGTGGGTCTCTTGTGAGGACGTTTGGTGCATGAAGAAGTTGGTTGATGATGATGATGATGATGATGATTGGAGTAAATCTAGGGAAGGTACGGATGTCTTGTTCGTGGACCCACGTGAGTTTTGAGGGGGGATTATGGATGGATTAATAGTGACTAATTAGTGAAGCACACGTGCATAATTAATTGCGACGGAGCTAGGGAAGCTAACTTGTTTACATGTGTTTTGTTTGTTTTTCGTTCTTAATTAGTGATGTAATGAAGAGCTAGTTTCGATTAATCAATGGGTTTTGTTATGTTAAACTGACATTTTATATCATTTCGTTCTTAGAGAGAAGTTGTTGGTCCTATAGTTAACGTTTTCTTTCCCTTTTCAGCATTAATCTTAATTTGGTCTTAAGTACGTAGATTCTCAAATTGTGATCCGTTTGTCATCTTCAAAAGATCGAGTTTATCTTATATTATACACGTTAAATGTATTTATATATTTCTGTTATTATTGCGTGTGCTATAATTTCATGCGAGTACCGTGCTTATAAAACTAACTGCGCACATGTATATGATGTAACTGCCGCGTGTATAAAAATTAATTGCATAGAATATTATCACATGCATGCACTGCACGCTATCAATGAGCATCGATAAACATTTTCTCTTTTGCTACGTCTGTATTTGTCTTTTCCTCTTTTAGTTCTATGTATCCTTCCTCTTCATGNTTTTTGCTAAAATCTGAAATTTATAAGACGACTGTAAAATTATTAATTAAAGAAATTAAAGACTAATGTTTATATTCAAGCTATACATCCAGCTGGCTAGCTGACAATATATCTTAAAAATACAACTCTGCTGGGTTTTTTTAGATATTAGTCCCTTAAATCTCAACAGTTGCATACTAGTCCCTCAAATATTCTTGGAAATTGTGTATTAGTCCCTTAAACATATATGCTCCTGAAGATGGTCTCTATATTAGTACTTCACTTAATTAAAAACTAATCATATGGCTGGGTTGACTCCTAACCCAATGTCTGTGATCATCAAACTACCATTGTCTTTGATATTTTAAACCTTTGCGTGAAACTCAACTTTGAGCAAGGATTCTTTTCTAACCATTAAGGAGCAGAGTTCAAGTGAGTCTGGATTTTTTTTTCAAAGTGGGTATTAGGTTTAAACTCAATAAGAAATGAATCGAGGAACATAATAGAGGGGGAAAATGGTCACTTTGCCTCTAGCTATTGGATTTGATCGAACATATTATACTCAAATCTAACGGAATTTAACTTGAAGGGCTATTTCACAATACCCTATAGTATTTTAGGGACTAATATGCAATTCTCAAAGTTTGACGGACTAGTATGCAATTATTGAAGATTTAAGGGAATAATATATAGAAAGCCCTACTTGTCTTCAATCTCCAATTAGGAACAAGCTATGTTTTTGTTTTGAGTCTTGAGACTCTTGACCCTCTTCGACAGTCTTTATAATTATACTCATTCAGATGTACTATTACGTATGACAAGCTAACCCTAGGTGAAGTCATCTTAATTACATATGACTGCAATTTGGTGTCGCCTGCAAATAAAATTTAAGGAAAGGGTGTTATTTCTGAAAATTAATTACTTACATGGGTTTAATTTGGAGCCATGTGGTTTCATGTAAAAGCTTAATTATTTGCTTTACTTTAAAAAAAAACGTACATGAATTGAAACAGCTGTCAGCTTGGGGTCATGTGATCCCATCTTCTCTTGATCATGTGATGATGGTCAATAATCCTTTTTAGCTCAAACGTTGAGGACCACTATTATTAAATGATCTTGAACGTATACTTTAATTTCTTAAATGTTCAAGGGATCCTTATTCCTAGTCATGGAATTTTAGTTTAGGAATTGGATTAGATCTTGACTGAATGACTACAGCTATCACTGTATTAAAAAATTTATCAGAATTCTACCTTAATTAGATGCATCAAATTGCACTAGAAGACTACGTGGCTTAATTTCTTGACGACAACTCGACAAGCTATCATGAAATCTTTGACAACTTTCCATTTCAGAGCATGATTATTACTTTTTTTTTGAAGGAAAATAGGACAGAAAGCCCTATCGTAAATATATTAAAACCTGAATAGAACGTCATACAAAAGTAATTATCTACTGATGATTTAGTCACCAATTCCGAGGTGGAGGAAAATCTAAATCATAAGTAGAAAACTAAAAGATATATACATAAAACCAAAACAAAGCTTAAACAACCAGAAGACGGAGAAAACCAAAAAGAAAGATAGAATGTTTGTTACAAAAGGTCATCTCAGTCAGCGAACATAAACTCCCCGATCAGGTGTCTCCTTCTCTAAGAAGACAATCAAGCTACAGCGGCTAATCCGCTACTCTGGGTTGCTGGAGATTCTGGAATCCAAGTGAAGATAGTAACATGATTATTACTTATAAATGAATTATATTAATTAATTTGCTTGTTTTCCAAAGTTTGAACATTAATTTTTGATTAATTGAGACCGATCGAACGCCTTCTAGCAGAGTTTGAGATTATGTTCTGAATTGAAATTGTTCAGGGATCAAATCAAGTCTTAATTTGTCGTCAACATGATGACTATCTATGTATACTCATGTTTCTAATCTCTTTAAACTTTGGCTTCAATGCGTTGCATATAGAAGTCCATATGCATGGATGCCTATAATCGTTCAGATCTTCAAGGATATATATAACCCATACACCATACTCCTTTCTAAGACAAGTTGGTCATTAAAAATACACAATTATTTTACACTTCAAGGACATGCAACAGTATTATTTTCATATATAATTGCATGAGGCCTATCCTCTACAAACAATCTCCACATGTTTTGTTTAATATATGAGATTGCAGATCTTTGAGCTGAACTCTAGAAAGAATGTTGGCTCCACTCTCACAAAAGTGTGCGAGAAGCAGAAAGTTTCTCAGAATTCCTTTGCAGAATTTACCCACTTTCTACGCTGTTAGCGAGCTTTGACGATTGTTATGGAGTTGGCTGCATATATATCATACTGATGTGGTTCCCACCTAAACAGATTCCTGTCAAGTATCCAACCGCTGGAAGTACCTGTAGCCTGTTCGCCATTCCCTGGCGGATATCATACCCCCCCAACACCCCGCGCCCACAAAAAAAAAAAAAAAAAAACCCTACTCAAACTTCGTTTCCCTCGTATAGCTCCCCCAAAAAAAAAAAAAAAAAAAAACCCTACTCAAACTTCGTTTCCCTCGTATAGCTCTCTTGACTTTTGGGTTGTCTCACAAAATCCACCTGAACTTAATTTATATTATCTCACCTAACCTCCATGTCTGTAAATTTAAGACTTTGTCACTTGTCATTTACATGCAACACATTCTCTCCCCTAAATTTTTATTTTTATTTTCCTCTCAAGATAATACTATTTATTTACAAACAGTAGACACATGACGCAACAGGGGGATGAGCTTTAGATTTCATAATTTGTAAGTGGCTAAGTTAAAAAAAAAAACCTTAGCTTTGGAAGATTATCACATAACTCCTTATTACTTCAGAAATATCAGAACAACCCCACTAAGATTAGGGGTTATTAGGTAACTCCCTTCAACTTTCATCGTTTTCCCAAAATAAACACCGCAAAAAGTGTTAACCACAGTTTTCAATTACAAAAATATCCCACTGTGTAGTATTAACTACACACACAAAAAAAAAAAAGAAAAAAAAAAGAAAAGAAAACCCGACACGGAGAGAACCCACGCACGCACGATTGGTGCCTATGATCACCATTTTAAAAATTAAAGGTAAATAAGTCTAATGACAATGAATATTATCTCAATATATTACATGTGATTATAGTTGCAAGTCTTGCGTACGTAGGACTATCGCAGCGAGCCAAATAGCATCATGGTGATGGTCACATAACTATTTTTATTCTGCCGCACGAATTCAGTAGTGAATAGTAGTTCATGTAAATGTCAATTTTGTATATATGTGGTCTAGTGACACATTTGAGGAGCTCCAAGATGATTTTTCTAATCATCAACTAATAATTAACTTTGTCATATAAAACAGATTATTAATTATTAGAAAAGATGGAAGGTGGTAAAAAAGTTTCATTATGATGCAATGTCACACTAAAGAGTCCTCTAGAAACAAACTCTATAAATAAACCCATTTAATTAAGTTAATAATCATACTTTTATGTAAAGATGCACTACTATATAGCTAGTTAATGTCGCACCACTAACTAATCGCATATATATGTATCATACTTAACAATCATTTATCATACTAATAAAATTAATTTGAGAAGGCCAACAAAGAAGCTCATGAGCATATTTTAGTGCTCATGATATGGTTCCTTCTACTTTGTAGCCCTAGATTAGATATATATAGTGATATTTTAGGTAGTATATATCTCCAAAAGGAAAGATCTAAATCTTTTCACTAACATTTTGCACATGCTTTGGTGAATATATAGCAAGCTTAGGGTTGGTGATTTGTGGGATAGGGATCTTGACTCATGATTGCAAATCTGGCATGACAATGTTTAAGAACTATATGCAACATTATTTTGATTATAATGATTCGTTAGGGGAACCCCCTTTAATAAACGCAAAAGCTAGCCCCCACCAAAAAAAAATAAAAGGGAAAAAAATAATAATCAAAATCTTCAGTACCCTCACTATTGGATAGTAACCCTGCCAAGTGGATACGTAGGCTTTTTGAATTCATTAATTATATATAGCTTCGAAAGTCTAAGTGATCCTTAAAGTTCTAAATATATATTCTATATTAACATGTTGAGGGTTGTCACCTTTGAGCAAATAGATAGTCATGTCACTATAAAGTTTTATCAATTTTGCGGTGGTTTGTATAGATTAGGCTTTTCCATGTGTAAGGGCCTAATGCAAATTAAAGTTACAAGATATATGCGGCGGTTCCAAAAAGAAGAAGAAGAATAAGGGGAAAATAAATAAAAAAAGGAGAGAAAAGTGTTGTAGATTAAGATTTAGTTTACATATATGAATGTAATAGAGAAACTAGCTAGTGATATTTGTCAACTGATCAGTTGGTGCATCAAATATTAACATATCCCCAAAAAATACAAATTGATATATTTTTAAAGCGTAATGGTTTAAAAGATTTCCTCCACTTCCTTGGGAATCTTAGTCTATCTTATTTTACTTATCAAATTAATAACAAAAAATGCACAAGTAACGAGAAAAACATTATATTAGCAAATAAAAATTGTAATGTG